ATTTCAGCCACAGAACACGCACGACGCACGACACCATTACAACAAGAACCATCACGCAAAACCCTAGCACACCCACCCGCCCGCATCAGGCCACCTGCATCCATGACACTTCGCACAGCAAATGCCAAAGGCCAGCCAACTCCCACCCCCACCCCTTTCCAATGCATGTGCACGTGCACGTGCGGTCATCCGACCTCGAGATGCGGGCGAAGGCGGCCCATAAACTCCTCGCTGGTGAACTTGCTCCGCGCATAGCCGACAAACACCGACGACCGCGGGATCAGGCTCTTGCGATACATGGTCCTGGGACACAACATCCAACGCGTACGTGCAGTTGAACGTGCAGGTGCATGTAACCGTACAGGCATACACATACACATACACATACACAAACACATACACGTGCACATGCACAAACACATACACGTACATGTACATGTACACACACAAAGGCATGATGAAACACTGGTAAGTGTGCATGTTGTGCTCTGCACGTGTTGTGTGTGTGTGTTGTGTGTGTGTGTGTGTTTTGCTTGCAGGACACACGATGATGCGGAACAACCCTGCTGCACGTCACTCAACGAGCGAAGAAAACACAGCCACGGGTCACACAGGTCAAACGTACCAGAGCGCGGGGTAGACTTTGTTCTTTGCGAGGTCCCCGGAAGCGCCAAGGACGGTGATGACGGTGACTGTGTTGTTCGCGTTTGGCGGCTCATCTTCGTCAAGCTCATCCTGCCGTTCCTCCTCCCGCTTCCGCGCGTGTGTCCTCCTGGCCATGCGTTGCTTGATCTCCTTCTCGGCAGCAAGCCTGGCCTCCTTCAAGGAGTTGTATTGTTCGCTCATGATGACACGTTCTTGAAGCTGAAGCAGTCTAGTGGCGTGTCTATTTGACTTGTTCTTCTGTGCTTGGGTCGTTCTCTTCGCGTCCTGCAGGGTGAGATGTCCGGCCGCAGCACTTCGTGTGCGTCTGTCGCCTTCGGTGGTTTGTCGGGTTGTCTGGGTTTTGGTTGTTGTGCTGATGGTGGGCGGGCCGATCGTGTGCGGTTGCTTGCAAGCTTCACAGCCGAAAAATATATGAAGACTTTCGCTATTCCTCAAGCCGCCCACATTCCCCCTGATTTCAGTCGTCAGCACCACGCTGCCTCTTGTCCTTCCTTCATCATAACACACAGGCAGCGGGCGACGACGAGGACGATGAAGTTGTGTGCGCGGTGCGAGACGAGCCGGGCGGCGATGCGCCGGCCCAAGACGGGCGCTGCGCTGTGCCGGGAGTGCTTCTATGCTGCGTTTGAGGAGGAAGTCCATGAGACCATTGTTTCCGAGAACCTGTTTACACCGGGCGACGTTGTCGCCATTGGCGCGTCTGGCGGCAAAGGTGTGTGTTCGTGTGTGCATTGTGTGTGAATGAATGCATTGTGCTTGTGTGCATTTGTGTGTGTGTATGTGTGTGTGTATTACCTTGTGTGTGTGTATGAATGTATGTATGTATGTATGTATGTCTGTATGTAT